GCCTCGCAGCGGCTCTGTGCCTCGGCGCCGAGCCGAGACATGCCAGGCGGCCCGCCGCCGCCCACCGAGACGAGGCCCGCCCTCTCGTCGTGCACCGCGTCGCTCGCGCCTCCGCCAAAGCGATCTCGATCACGCTTTGCGGCGACGGCGCCATCGACGCCAACTTGCGCCGCTGCTCTCGCCCAGCAGCGGGTGCTCGCCGCTGTCCACGGACGCGGCTTGTCAGGCGGCGCGGTGCCGCCGGCTGCAGCGACGGCTGTCCCGGCCGTCGCGTCCTCGAGAGAGGCGAGCGAGCCGGCAGCAGAGCCCGCATGGCCCTCACCGCCACAGCCGCTCTGCTTGCTGACCTCGCTCTCGCCGCCGCCGCCTGCAGCGGCGCCTCCGCGGCTCCGAGAGGACCCGGCCCGCTGCCGTGCCCCGTCGAGCGCCTCCTCGACGCCCTCGGCGACGCCTCCTCGCGTCGCGTGCCCGTGCGTGGCGACCGCACCGCCGGCAGAGCTCGAGTGGCCCTCCACGCCACCCCGAGACTGCCCGGCGATGGTGCCTCCGCCGCCGCGCGTTGCCGCCGCTGCCTCGCAGCGGCTCTGTGCCTCGGCGCCGAGCCGAGACATGCCAGGCGGCCCGCCGCCGCCCACCGAGACGAGGCCCGCCCCCTCGTCGTGCACCGCGTCGCTCGTGCCTCCGCCAAAGCGATCTCGATCACGCTTTGCGGCGACGGCGCCATCGACGCCAACTTGAGCCGCTGCTCTCGCCCAGCAGCGGGTGCTCGCCGCTGTCCACGGACGCGGCTCGTCAGGCGGCGCGGTGCCGCCGGCTGCAGCGACGGCTGTCCCGGCCGTCGCGTCCTCGAGAGAGGCGAGCGAGCTGGCAGCAGAGCCCGTATGGCCCTCACCGCCACAGCCGCTCTGCCTGCTGACTTCGCTCTCGCCGCCGCCGCCTGCAGCGGCGCCTCCGCGGCTCCGAGAGGACCCGGCCCGCGGCCGCGCCTCGCCTAGCGCCTCGGCGACGCCCTCGGCGACGCCTCCTCGCGTCGCGTGCCCGTGCGTGGCGACCGCACCGCCGGCAGAGCTCGAGTGGCCCTCCACGCCACCCCGAGACTGCCCGGCGATGGTGCTTTCGTCGCCGCGCGTTGCCGCCGCTGCCTCGCAGCGGCTCTGTGCCTCGGCGCCGAGCCGAGACATGCCAGGCGGCCCGCCGCAGCCCACCGAGACGAGGCCCGCCCCCTCGTCGTGCACCGCGTCGCTCGCGCCTCCGCCAAAGCGATCTCGATCACGCTTTGCGGCGACGGCGCCATCGACGCCAACTTGCGCCGCTGCTCTCGCCCAGCAGCGGGTGCTCGCCGCTGTCCACGGACGCGGCTCGTCAGGCGGCGCGGTGCCGCCGGCTGCAGCGACGGCTGTCCCGGCCGTCGCGTCCTCGAGAGAGGCGAGCGAGCCGGCAGCAGAGCCCGCATGGCCCTCACCGCCACAGCCGCTCTGCCTGCTGACCTCGCTCTCGCCGCCGCCGCCTGCAGCGGCGCCTCCGCGGCTCCGAGAGGACCCGGCCCGCGGCCGCGCCTCGCCTAGCGCCTCGTCGACGCCCTCGGCGACGCCTCCTCGCGTCGCGTGCCCGTGCGTGGCGGCCGCACCGCCGGCAGAGCTCGAGTGGCCCTCCACGCCACCCCGAGACTGCCCGGCGATGGTGCCTCCGCCGCCGCGCGTTGCCGCCGCTGCCTCGCAGCGGCTCTGTGCCTCGGCGCCGAGCCGAGACATGCCAGGCGGCCCGCCGCCGCCCACCGAGACGAGGCCCGTCCCCTCGTCGTGCACCGCGTCGCTCGCGCCTCCGCCAAAGCGATCTCGATCACGCTTTGCGGCGACGGCGCCATCGACGCCGACTTGAGCCGCTGCTCTCGCCCAGCAGCGGGTGCTCGCCGCTGTCCACGGACGCGGCTCGTCAGGCGGCGCGGTGCCGCCGGCTGCAGCGATGGCTGTCCCGGCCGTCGCGTCCTCGAGAGAGGCGAGCGAGCCGGCAGCCGAGCCCGCATGGCCCTCACCGCCACAGCCGCTCTGCCTGCTGACTTCGCTCTCGCCGCCGCCGCCTGCAGCGGCGCCTCCGCGGCTCCTAGAGGACCCGGCCCGTGGCCGCGCCTCGTCGAGCGCCTCGTCGACGCCCTCGGCGACGCCTCCTCGCGTCGCGTGCCCGTGCGTGGCGACCGCACCGCCGGCAGAGCTCGAGTGGCCCTCCACGCCACCCCGAGACTGCCCGGCGATGGTGCCTCCGCCGCCGCGCGTTGCCGCCGCTGCCTCGCAGCGGCTCTGTGCCTCGGCGCCGAGCCGAGACATGCCAGGCGGCCCGCCGCCGCCCACCGAGACGAGGCCCGCCCTCTCGTCGTGCACCGCGTCGCTCGCGCCTCCGCCAAAGCGATCTCGATCACGCTTTGCGGCGACGGCGCCATCGACGCCAACTTGAGCCGCTGCCCTCGCCCAGCAGCGGGTGCTCGCCGCTGTCCACGGACGCGGCTTGTCAGGCGGCGCGGTGCCGCCGGCTGCAGCGACGGCTGTCCCGGCCGTCGCATCCTCGAGAGAGGCGAGCGAGCCGGCAGCAGAGCCCGCATGGCCCTCACCGCCACAGCCGCTCTGCTTGCTGACCTCGCTCTCGCCGCCGCCGCCTGCAGCGGCGCCTCCGCGGCTCCGAGAGGACATGGCCCGTGGCCGCGCCTCGTCGAGCGCCTCGGCGACGCCCTCGGCGACGCCTCCTCGCGTCGCGTGCCCGTGAGCGGCGACCGCACCGCCGGCAGAGCTTGAGCGGCCCTCCACGCCACCCCGAGACTGCCCGGCGATGGTGCCTCCGCCGCCGCGCGCTGCCGCCGCTGCCTCGCAGCGGCTCTGTGCCTCGGCGCCGAGCCGAGACATGCCAGGCGGCCCGCCGCCGCCCACCAAGACGAGGCCCGTCCCCTCGTCGTGCACCGCGTCGCTCGCGCCTCCGCCAAAGCGATCTCGATCACGCTTTGCGGCGACGGCGCCATCGACGCCGACTTGAGTCGCTGCCCTCGCCCAGCAGCGGGTGCTCGCCGCTGTCCACGGACGCGGCTCGTCAGGCGGCGCGGTGCCGCCGGCTGCAGCGACGGCTGTCCCGGCCGTCGCGTCCTCGAGAGAGGCGAGCGAGCCGGCAGCAGAGCCCGCATGGCCCTCACCGCCACAGCCGCTCTGCCTGCTGACCTCGCTCTCGCCGCCGCCGCCTGCAGCGGCGCCTCCGCGGCTCCGAGAGGACCCGGCCCGTGGCCGCGCCTCGTCGAGCGCCTCGTCGACGCCCTCGGCGACGCCTCCTCGCGTCGCGTGCCCGTGCGTGGCGACCGCACCGCCGGCAGAGCTCGAGTGGCCCTCCACGCCACCCCGAGACTGCCCGGCGATGGTGCCTCCGCCGCCGCGCCTTGCCGTCGCTGCCTCGCAGCGGCTCTGTGCCTCGGCGCCGAGCCGAGACATGCCAGGCGGCCCGCCGCCGCCCACCGAGACGAGGCCCGCCCCCTCGTCGTGCACCGCGTCGCTCGCGCCTCCGCCAAAGCGATCTCGATCACGCTTTGCGGCGACGGCGCCATCGACGCCGACTTGGAGGGCGGCTGCTGCGACGCATGGTTCACCACCATGTCCTTCGTGCTGGTGAGCTGACTGACGGCGCTGTTGAGCTTCTCGCGCAGCTCGAGCAGCTGCTGGTTGTCAGGATCATTTGCGAGCATCTGTCGAGGGAGCGACCCGTGCTGGCAATCACGCGGGCAGTGCTGCCGGATGGGGGGAGGGCGCTGGGCGAACGCTTGGCCTTGGGGCGCTGAGGGGCGCTCTGGAGCGCGCGCCTGCTCGATCTGCTCCTTGTGCTTTTGGCAGGAGTGGAGCGAGCTGTCGAGCTCGGCAGCGGAGGTGGCGTACAGCCCGCCGTCGTTTCGCTGATCGCGCTTTTGCCCCACCATCGGCATGTTCGCTGCGCGGGCAGGGGCACACGCATCAGCACGCTAGCACGGCGAGAAGGGGGGGGGTGCAGAGCGTGCACACAGACGCAAGGGGGTGCGCGCAGAGAGTGGCTCACCTGGCATTCCTGGCGGCATCCCCATCTGGACCCCCTCTTCCGCACCTTCCCTAGGCCTCGACAGGCCTCGACACCTCTACCCCTCGACAGCAGCTCGACACCCTCCACACCGGGCCTCGACACCTCGACACCAGGGCTCAGACACAGCCCTTCCCTGCAGCGAGCCCCCCTCCAACCCACCCGCGCTAGGTCTCGGGGGACGGCGGACGCAGGGGTCACTCCCGACGACCTCGGGAACTACTCGAGTAGCCGGGGCAGTCCGGCAGTCGGAGAAGGGGCAACTCCGTGCACTGACGGTCGGCCGTCAGAAAACACGCCTGCGTGGCTCGGGTTACACCAATCCTCGCTACCCAACGGCGGCCAAAGGATATCCTCGAGAACCTCGAGAGATAAAGAAATCGGTCGTGCGCGCCGGCCCGCCGCCATGCGACTTGCTGGCAGAGCGTCGGAGTCGTTCCTGGCTCCTGAGATGAGGTTCCGTGCGCCTCCCGAGCAGCGCACGAGCCGATTTCTTTATCTCTCGAGGTTCTCCGCACGAGCCGATGCGGCCGTTTCCCAAACCTTTGCGTTTGAAAGAACCACAACGTATGAGGTCGTGGTGTGGTTCTTCCAAACGCTCGCCTCCCTTTTCTGGATCTCTAGCGTCTTTGTGTACGGGGGCTTTGAGGCTGGCGACATTCTGCAGCTCCTTGCAGCAATCGCATGGGTCATGTCCAACGCGGCAGCACTGCCTAACACCCTGAAGCTGCGTCCTTCTTCAGCCCGCAGCAGAGACGTGGAGTTAGATGCCGTTTAGACTTGCAGAGCGCGAATCAGCAGTGCCGAACAAGTACGTGCACGAGCACATGCACATGGACAGGGGTGCGGCTCAGCATTGACCTGGACAGCATGGTCTTGTGCTTGAGCATGTGCATGTGCATGTGGCATGTGCATGTGCATGTAGCATGCACATCTGCATCCCGCAGTACCGCGGGGGCTTCTTGCGGCTCCTGGGCGCGGGCGGGATGCTGGGCTTCGACAGTTGCGTTTGGGGGGACGACGAGGTGGTGCAGCTCGTGGCGGCGCTCGAGTTTGCGCGCGACGCGGGTGCGGCGACGGCGGCGGACGGCCTTTTCCTCCCCTACAACCGGCTGACCGATGCGGCGGCGCCGCCCCTCGTCGCGGCGCTTGAGGCGGGCGCGATGCCGGAGCTGACGGACCTCGCCCTCGAGTTTAACGAGGTGGGCGACGCGGGGCTGGCGGCGCTGCGGCCGCTCCTTGCGGGGCGGCTGTCGTCGCGGCTGAGGCGGCTGGGCATCGGCGGGCATCCGAGATGCCCCGAGATGCCCCGGCGCGAGCAAGCGTGGCAGCCGATCGCCCTCCGCCGCCGCCATCTCTGGTCTCGGCCATCTCTCGGCTACTCTGGTGAGGAGGGCGAGGGCGAGGGGTTTAGCTGGCCGTATCTCGGGCCCACTTTAGAGCGCATGATCTTGGTGTTCTATAGCATGATCTTAGGTGTTCTGGATAGCCCACAAGGGTCTTCTGTGGCATGGTAGCGGTGGTTTTGCGCGAGGCGTTCATTCAAAACGATCACCATTCCCCCCCTACGGCAGGCGTGGTCACGTATTTTTCGATTTCGGGTAGAGCCGTAAAAAAAACCTCTGGCGCGTGGCGGGCTTTTCTGTTTTTTCAGCAGGTATACCCGGGTTTTACCCGGAGTATTGGCCTTGTGTCGTCTAAGTTCATGGCCCCCGACCATACAGCGTCTAAGTCTGAGCCCGGCTCCGTGCGGGGGCTAAGTTGAGCGCTCGCTCGCTCCAGAGCCCGCTCCGCTCCTCGCCAGCACAAAGCGGGAGGGGTCAAAGGTGCGGGGGATGGGCGCTCCATATGCGATGTGGTCCGCGAGCAAGCGCGCGCTGGCGAAGGAGAGGGTGTAGCCCCAGAAGGACTGGCCGGAGTTGATATAGCTGTGGCTCGAGCCAGGCAGCCGCCCAACCACCGGACAGCCGTCCGGCGACACCGCCCTGCAGCCGATCCAGTCGCGCAGCGGCTGGCCGAGCCCGCCCACTCGGTCGAGGATGGCGCTGAACGCCTCCAGCGGCGGCGGCGTCGCCGATACCTCCGCGCCGCCGCCCAGCCGCAGCACCCGCCTCGCCCTGTGCTCAAGCACGACGACGTAGCTCTGCTGGCCCGGCTTGGGCGCCGGCAGCGTGCTGACGAGGATGTCCTCCGAGCCGAAGAGACCGCGCGAGCCACTCTTGTCGAAGCAGTACTCTCGGATCAGGCCTTGCAGGCGAGGTTGCAGGGCAAAGTTTCAGACTGCGGGGGAGACTGCAGCGAGTTTGCGGGGGAGATTGCACCCCACATTGGCAGGCAGGGGAAGAAGCGGTCCGAGGCGATGCCGGTGCAAAAGACGGCCGCCTCCGCCTCGATCTCGCCCTGGCTGGTCAGCACCGAACCGCCGCCGCCGCCGCCGCCGCCGCCGCCGCCGCCGCCGCCGCCGCCGCCCGGCTCGGCCGCCGGCCCAGCCGGCCCCAAGTACTCGCAGCCGTACCGGAAGTCGGCGCCTCGGGCGCGGCAGTCCGCCTCGAGCGCCTACAAGGGCATGCCCATGCCACGTCCAGGACATGTGCGTACCTCGGCGCGGTGGTCCGCCTCGAGCGCCTCGCACAGGTCGGACGGGGATCCGGTCGCAACCTCGTGTGCCCGGAAGGTGACGGCGGGCTCGGCGGAGCCGCTCCGCGTGCGCGCGAGCATCGCGGGGTCGGTGGGGTCGAGCGGGAAGGAGCACTCGCTCGTGATGGTCGAGCGGCCGAAGCGGAAGCCTGAGCGGCCCGGCATCGCCCTCTCGAACTCGTGTGCCGCCGCGATCGACGCGCGCCCCATCGCCCTGATGTCCTCTGTCATCTGGTCGGCTGCGCCGTCGACGAGGCGGCAGCGGAGCGCGTAGAGCAGGTAGTTGATCGTCCAGCGCGGGAAGCCGGTGGCGATGCGGAAGAGGCCGCGCACGCCGAGTGCTGCCGGGTCGGAGTACGCCCGCATGTGGTCCACCCGCACCGGCTCCAGCTGGCCCGAGGAGACCCATGACGTCTCGGCGGCCACGTGCGAGTGGCGGTCGATCACGCAGACGCGGAGGCCGGCCGCACAGAGCGCGTGCGCCGTCGTCACGCCCACGATGCCGGCGCCAACCACGACCGCGTCGTACGGTCTTGTCGAGAGAGCGGCGGTCGAAGAGCGCCGGGCCGAGGCTGAGAGCGCCTCCGCTCCTGCTGCGACGCGCCTGCACGAGCGCAGGGCGGTGGCGGCGGCGGGGCGGGCGGCGGCGGCGGCGCGGTGCATGTTGTGTCGTCTGCGACTCAGCGAGGACTCAGCGAGGCGACGCACGGCGGTGAGAGCGGCGCCCTTCTGTGCGTGTGAGTCGAGCGCCGCAAAAAGAATTTTTCCCAACACTGGGCACGGGACTGGCGCGCACTGGCACTAACACAGGCAAAAAGAATTTACGAGCAGAAAGAGGCTCGACACAGGTGCGAACTGGCGCGTGCTAGTACTATCACAGGCACACCGCAAAAAGAAAAGAATTCCTCGAGTAACGGCAAAAAAAGGCCACGTATGGGCCGTCGAAGAGGCCGTCATACTCCTCCGGCCTCGCCCCCCCTTCCCAACCCTCCCTGGCTCAGGCTCCTCATCCTCGCGGCGCGCGAACCAGCGGTTCATCTGCATGTAGGCGAGCGAGAAGGGCGGAAAGGGCGCGCACGTGTACGAGTAGGACTCGAGCTGCGCCGGCGTGAGCGTTGCCTTCATCCAGGCCGGTACGCCAATGTCGATGGTGACGAGTCGTAGGTCGGCGTTCCGAACCGGAGCGCCACCTTCATCTGTGGCGTTGGCCGCGCGCAGCCCTGCGGCCACTGAGGCCCGGAGGGTGGCCTTGATGTCGTCGCCGAGGGAGCCTGGGGGTGTGGTAGTGCTCTCCGAGAGGGCAGAGTACGGTGGCGGCGGGACCGGCTTCTGGTCGAAGGACGCGGTGGAACCGCCCGCCTCCGGCGGTTGGTGGGGGGCGCTCTCCGCGGCTCTCGCCACCCAAGCCGGTCCTTCCTTTGTCCTGGCGCCGCCCGAGGGCACCGCGCTCGTCTTTGGCGGCCAGGTGCTCCACGCGGGCGAGCAAGTCGTGGCGAGCCACACCGCCGCCCAGCCACGCGGCGCGCGCCTCCACCGCGCCGCCGGAGCCCATCCGCGTTCGCTCTTAGGCCGGTGAGCGGGTTGTTCTGGTCGCCTCCTTCAGCAACCGAGGGTCACACGCTCGGGAGGATACGTCGAGGTGCGGGTTGCGCCCTCAGCCGCAGCCGAGTCAGTCATGCTCATAGCATCGTTTCTTGCGCTCCAGGAGAATCCCCGGCCAGGAGTACGTGCAGCAGCTCTTTGGCGGGCTGCAGCCGAGAGCCGATAAAAGGTCAGATTAATGCTTTTTGTTTTCGACGTGCGTCGTTCTCTCGAGGTCTCGCTTAAAGGCCAAGGTGGGCCCTATTGAAAAGACCCCGATTTTGAGGGGTGTCGGACAAGCTAAGCTCAAGCGCGCTGTCGCTGCCCGAGTTGTGGTCACGTCCCCGAAATCTTCGCCGGCCCCGCCAGCTTGACCGACTGGACCGCGGAGAGGCTGGGCTTGGCCGGCGGCGCGACGCGTGGCCTCTGCTGCGGCCATCTCGGACGCTCAAGCGGCGCCAGCCAGCGGCTCGGCCGCGCATCCTTCACACACGCCGCCACGACCAAGCTGAGCGGGCCCGGTGTCGAGTCATGGTGCGAGATGCATGTCAGGGGCGGCTGTGGCCACAGCAGGTCCACCAGACGGGCGTCAAAGCTTGCCGTCGGCGTGCTGTCGTGGCGAGAGCCGAGACCGCTGCAGAGGAGCCGAGTGCAGTGGCGAGCCAGAGGCTACCAGGGTCACCAGGTGGTAGCCCTTGCCCATTCTGAGCAGGGATGTGCTTTGATGGGGTTGTGCTTGAGCGTGTGTGAAGTGGGAGTGCGTGCCGGCGGTGTCTGTGGCTGAAACGGGCGTGTGTGAGGCTGCAGAGCCGTGGTATGAGCCAGAGTGAGCTTCATCACCCAAGATAAGTGCGGTTTGGGACGGCTCAGACTTGCTGCTGATGGGCCTGGGCCAGGAGAGCGACAGAGAAGGCGAGGTGGTGAGCTGGGAAGCCGCTTTGTCGGCACCTGGACGTGTCGCGATGAAGTGCCAAAAAGTACTATTTGCGGCTATTGCTCCAAACTTCGGGAGACAAGGCCTACATATTATGACTGCATCCATGAGCCTAGTGCATGAGGGCTGTGGGTCGGGACATTTCACAGTCGATGGCGCCGATAATGACCTCCGTAATGCCCTCGCAATCGGCTCGGATGGGGTCCACCAGGGACAATCTCGGAGCCCTCTCCGTGGCATCACGAGCCGGTGTGAGCTTGAAGACCCGAGGTAAGTGCGGTTTGGGACAGCTCAGACCTGATACTGATGGGCCTGGGCCAGGAGAGCGACAGAGAAGGCGAGGTGGTGAGCTAGAGGCTGAGAGTCCACGTGTGACCTTGGGGGATCCTCTAGATCTAACTGCAGCGATGCAAG